GGACAAGACAAAGGAGATGATAGTGGACTTGAGGAAAAAGAGGAAAACTCACCAGCCACTGTTTATCCGAGAGCTTGAAGTGGAGAGGGTGAGCAGCTTTAAATACCTGGGGGTCCACATCAGCGAGGACCTCACCTGGACACTCAACACCACCCAGCTGGTTAAGAAGGCACAACAGCGGCTGTACTTCCTGAGGAGGCTGAGGAAGTTTGGCATGTCACCTAAGATCCTCAACAACTTCTACAGCTGTGTAGTTGAGAGCGTCTTGACCAGCTGCATCACTGCATGGTATGGCAGCACTACAGTGAGGGACCGCAAACGTCTGCAGAGAGTGGTGAAGACTGCTGAGAAGATCATCAGGACTCCACTGCCCTCTCTGCAGGCCATTTACCATCGCAGAGTCCACAGAAGAGCTGCATCCATCATTAAAGACCCCACCCACCCCCAACACAGACTGTTCACACTCCTACCCTCAGGACGGAGGTACAGGAGTGTAAATTGCAGGACTTCCAGATTAAGGAACTCCTTCTTCCCCTCAGCTATTAGACTCTTAAACAGGTAGCTAGCTAGTGGACTTATCTATCTCAGAGAACAGTCGGACCAAATTGTTTCATCTCATTTGAACATTTGTAATGTTATTGCTGTTATTACTACCATTGTATATTTGTTAATATTACTCATGTAGCCTCATCTCAATTTGCACATCTGTTACTGTTACTGCTGCTATTGTTATCATGTAGTTGCACTCAATTTGCACGTTACTGCACTATTGTTTTTTTTTTTCACACAAGTAAATACTGTACATTCACATATGTAGATACCATATACATAGTCTATATTTCTATTTTCACATTCTATATTTCTACTCTATACTCGCATATATAGATACACATAGTCTATATTTCTATTTTTTCATAGTCTATATTCCTACTACTGCAGCATAGTTTTTATTATTATGTTTCTTACATTGTATGTATGTATGTGTGTATAGTTTGTGTATGTGTGTGTATAGCTTTGCACTGTCTTGGCATTCATTGTGGACAGCAAAGTAAGAATTTCATTGCTCAGGGAAACTTGTTTTCCTCACTGGGCATATGACAATAAACGCTTTAAATCCTTGAATTGTAATTAGGAATCTATGTCACTGAGAGTCTATGTCAGCCATTTTACGTGGACCTCACGGTCACAAACTCACCAGTCTGACCATTAGCTAGGGCTGAACGATTTTGGAAAATAATCTAATTGCGATTTTTTTTAACCAATATTGCGATTGCGATTTAATATGCAATTATTTTTTTAAAGCTTTATGTTCTGTATTATTCAACAAAGACAAATTATAAATCATTGTATAGTATGCCCAACACACTATTAGATAGATTAAACATAAATGTACTTTTCTGTAGGCCAGGCCTATATGTTACGATGAAATTAGGTGATGCATGAATTGATATGAATGACAGTATATTGACTGTTTTGAACAGTCTTGTTGAACTTCCAACCTTGTAAGCATGTAATAATTATGACAACATAAAGCAAATAACAAATAAGCACAAATAAGCCTGGTGTAAACATTAATATGAAAGTCAGTAATAAATCACACAAACTAAAGTAGATTGCAAAAATATAAAAACAAAACTGTTGCTTTACCACACTACTTTATGTAATTCAAAGTCACTGTAATAAACATAGGTAAAAATGTGGACTCACTTTTTAAACACTGTCTGTTAACTTCAGACCAGTGGTTCTCAAACTTTTATGGTCGCGCCCCCCTTTAAACCTATAAAAAAATCTGCCCCTCCCCCTTTCCCGAATCCCCATTCCACCTCAGACTACCAAATAATTTCACTAAACATTGATAAATTAATGCTTTTTTTAATGCTGAAAAAAAAAACACCTGCATCACTTGAAACATTGAAAAATAGCATAGCACAGGCTTTCCTCCTCACCAACGTCATTAAACACTGTGTCTACACCGGACGCGAGCGGCAAAATACAGTAGAATCATTATAATCAGTGAAGCTGTCTACACTGGATGCGGCGCGACTATAGACTGTATAGGGCGCGACACGACAAAACCCGACATTAA